CAATTTTATCCCAAAGATTATTCATTTATAACGAGGCCAGTCCTGTTCAATGAGCTGTGCTCAATGTCACTGTCAGCCTCTAATAACAATTGGGGACACCAGCCAGGCATCTATCTCTTCCTTGCTCACATATGCTCTTTATAGGCACTGAAACACCAGCCACCACCACCCCAACATCAGATCTTGCACAAGAATCCACTGATGTTCCAGTGAATGTCACCATCACAGTGACTACAGCACCATGAGGCCCAGAAAGGAAAGTGGAAACATTAGGGCTGGCAGGTGGAAGATAGAAACACCCTCTTCTGCCAGACTTTGGCCTTAAAACCAAAAAACTGAGACACCAACCACCCCTGCCCCATTTTATACCTATTCTCTACAACTGGTGCAAGACTTGTCTGCAATGCCCCTAAACCTCGGCTACAAGAGAAGCCTCGGACCAGCTTGTGAAAGGGAGAGGTGGAAAGATGAGGAAGATGGAAAAAAGATACGCTAGGTGTCAGAGGGCATATGAGCAAGATGGTCCTGGGAAAAGTCTCAGGTTGCAGAAGCATGAGTGTAGTCTCAGGTTGCAGAACCATTACAAAAGGCCATGGACTAGGCCACTGCTAAATAAACCATACTTGATGCTCTCACTTGGGAGAACCAGAGAATTATTTCAATTGCTCCTCCCACAGGGAGAGGCTGACTGCTGGGTCCCAGGTTTTCCTATTGGAAGAAAGATAGGGAATGAGAAGCAAGAAATATGTAGGTATGTGTTCCTTTCATTCAACAATAGCAAATAAAGTGCTTCCCTAGGGCTTCCTTACTTCCCAAATCCCAAATTTCTTCCTCACGAACACAAGCTCCTATCATAGGACCTACCTTAGAGCTGGTAGCAGAGCCAGGTGCCGACCCAGGGTCTTTCGTGTACCTTTAGTTTAGGAATGTAAATGAATCTACAGTGGTCAAAGTGAACATGCAGTGGCTGGTTCATGCCAACACAACACAGCACAGCAAAGGTCTTATAGATGCAGCTTCTTATCCGGCCTAGGGGAGCTGGCTGACAGGCCTGGGGCTATTCCAGAGTTACACTCCAGCATGACTCACTGGCTCCCAGTGTGTGTGTCTGAAATCTGGGTGGGACACAAGTAAATGCTTGTTCAACTGACTACAGGAGTCAAGACTCAGAGCTGGCTCCACAGGGGACTGAGATGAGAAGAGACAGCAGGAGAGCCAAGGGATGATCTTGCCAGGAATTAGAAAGTGGCGCCTGGAAGGAGACAGCAAACTGATGGAAATTTCAGTTGCTGCTCAGGATCTCACAGATTTAGAGTTTATTGAAAAAAGGAGTTCCATCTTCCCTCAAAGTTCTCAGTCTCAGGGCTGAGGTTTAAGGAAAAAACACACACATATATACACAACAACAACAGTTGCTGTCAATTTTGACTCGTGTCGACCCCTTGTGTAACAGAATAGAACTGAGCTCCATAGGGTTTTCTTGGCTATAGTCTTTACAGCAGATCACCAGGCCTCTTCCATGGTGCTGCTGGGCTCAAACCGTCAACGTTTAATAGTTGCAAACCATTTGCACCACCCAGAGACCAGAGGTTTAAGGAAGACTTATTTATATATGGGGACTAAAATGTAAAATGGCCACATCTGATGCCAAAGGCCCCACTGACTTTCTGGTAAAAGAAGCCTAGACCCTTCAATTTTTGGAGCAATAAAACAAATCTTGGGGTTACATTTCTACATTGGAGTAGCCTGGATGAGTTGTACAAATAGACAAAAGTGAGAAGTGACTGCTCCTCCCGTTTTCCTCCCTATTCTCCTCTGGCATCTCTCCAACCTTCCTCTTCCTTCCACAGAAACACTAGGTGACCCTGAGGGGGTCTGCCTGCTCCAACACGGCTCTTTGGCACAGATATCTTCCCGACATCCCCCAGAAAACATTGTTGTCTTCAATCCTGTTCCTTCAGGGCCTTGATCTCTGCAATCAGAACAGGGATTAATTCTCTTGGCTCTGAGTCTGCATAAGGGAGGGCAGGGTGGAGGTGCAAAAGAATTTCAGAATAAGACATACACTCACCCCAAGCACAAACTATATAAGCAGCTTTATACAAACAGTCAGTAAGTGAGGATCTCCATATTCACTTGCTACTTTACATGAAAGCAGCATTCTCTTTTAATATAAAATCATATGAACCAAATAAAACCTGTCAAAGCTACATCATTTAAAATATGTACAATTTCAAACACAATATTACAACCTTAAGGAAAACAAAACATATTTTTCTATATGATACAAAACATGCATCTCAAAGTCACTGCGTTAAAAGAGCAACACAGGTGAAATTCCATTATAAAATTAACTTCTTGGCAGTACTGCAGCTGGAATGAGATTTGTGACATGATCAGTCTCATACTGATGCACTGGTCTTCATAAATGCGTTCAACTAAAAAAAATCCATAAAGAAATGCTTCTTTTAAAAGGCCACTTCAAAGGGTTTAAAACATTGCAACTTAGCCTGCTTCCTGAACAGCACCTATCACCAGACCATCAGTGCATAACAAAACGAGGGGGAAAAGGAGATAGAGAAATGCTGTAACAGGAGAAGTTGAATATTAAAACAATAAATCACAAAGATTTCTAAGACTAGGAGGAACATTAAAAGGTCTGACCAATTATATGACCACTGAGCAGAATGAAAATAAGTTCTTGGGGGGAGGGGCGGGAGTGGTGGTGAGGGGAGATCATAGAGAGAAATGTGGATTCTTGGAAGATAAAATAATAAGCAAATCGCTCTCTCTGCCAATGTGGGACAGAGGGCAGCTTCTCTGGCTGTGGAGTTAGAGCCCCATGGGAGCTACGCAGTGGGAGTGGACACAGGCAGACATAACTGGACTTGTTCCATCCAAAGATAGAACAACGTTTCTGAAAAGTGGTGTGGGAAAATGGAAGGCACATAGATTATGGATCCAGAGAAGTTGGGTTCCAACTCAGGCTCTGTGGCTCATTACGTGACTTGGGCATGAGATAACAGTAACAAGCGCCTAGTACAGTGCCTGGTACACAGCAGTTATCCAGGAAATGTAAGCTCCATCTCCTACAACATTGTACTACATCCTTTTCTTTCCTGCTCACATGACATTAGGTAGGACTGTTTCTGCTGACTGCAGGGTGTAAAAGTTCAGAACAATTCATGATTAGGGAGAACTCATACCTCCTAAACACAAAGCAAATATATATGTATACATATATATGCATGTATATATATGTATACATATATTTATATATCTCAATATATAGAGGCATTTTTATAAATAAAATACAATAAAAAGATAACACTTAAAACAGCGTTACTAATAATATAAATAAAGCAGTCCACAAGGAGACTGCCCTAAAGGTAAAGAAGTCATTTTGTCTTCTGAGTGGACAAATCCCATACTCAAACTCAATCTTTAAAAGCAGTTTATGACCTAAGGCTCATGCTTGTACACCTGTTTCCTGAATCAAAATGACTGCCTACAAACATTTACTCCTCAGTTTTTGAAAACTTCCACTGTGACAGCATGGCTGTAACTTGACTGGCAAACACTAGGTATGTCTTCATATTCTGTGTACAAGGACTTTGTCCTTTGCTAGTCACAGAAATAAGGTGTGCAGCTATCCTCCTCCAGAAATAACTGCATGTATGCAGGATGAAGAATAAATCCAGTGCACTATGGGCACCGGCACCAGGACGCAGGGTGTGCTTCCACAGCACCCTTCGGAGAAACCACACTCACCACGTTCTGCTGGAAGCAAGTCTTGCACAATGACCCATCTTAAACAGCACATTTTCGTTAACAGTTCTATTTATAAAATATATAGGCATATGTAAGGGAATATTGATGCATTTATATAGAAAATTGGTTAACATAGTATTCTATTCAATCCCAGTGCAATTTCTGGGAAACTAACATTTTTTTCACTTCTGCTGAAAGAATCATTTTCTGTTTCTTTCCCAAAGGGATGCACAGTCCAAAAAGGAGCAGTGATCATTAAAGCTTGACTCAAGCCATGAAATACACTTATAGTGTTTTTTCTAAATGTGGAGGATATAAAGCCTTCCAAAGGCAGCTGTAAATGTTCTTGTCACTCAGAGGCAGCAGTGACGGTGACTTATGTAAAGCTTTAGGTGCCTGTCTACAATAATGACATTCTGAAAAACTGTCAGGAAATTTCAAACCACCCAAACCTTTTTCCTTCCAAATTAAGCCTTTTCTGACACCCACATCTTTCAGGCTGTTGTCTGTGTTGGAAGTTAGAAAATGGCTGTTTTCATGTCATGTGGTGTCATGATCACAATCCTATACTAATGGAATGTATCTTAAAATACAGAGAGCTTCTGCCAGGAGGGCTCCCTGGAACCCTCCTGTTCCTTCTTAAAATGACTGTCTTTCTTAATATACTATTTTAAAATCTTGTTTTGTTCCTAGTCTTAGAAACAGAGTCAAAAGGAGCCCCATGGTGACCATCTTACAAACTAATACAATTTTTAAGTGGTTGGATATACTTTTCTGCTCTATCCTTGGTTTCCTTTCTGCACACTGCAATATTCAACTAGACCTGAAATTCAACCATGTCCACAATACTGTTTTTGATTAGTGCTTAGAAAATTGAGCTTAATTTGTGCTCAGGTGCAGACAGAGGGTAAGTCAACAGGTCACATTATCACTTTTGTGGAAGGTACTCTTATAACATGCATAAGCCAGATCTGTTATTACAAACATTAGGTTCCCACTGTGGCTCATTTTAAAATGTTCTCGGAGAGTCTGGTAACACAATATTAAAAGACAACTTTCCATCAAAAAACCTGACTGGCGGCAAACTTTGAACTGCCTGTGTAATCCCCTCATAGTTGTACAAGCCAATAAGGTTGAATCCCTTGCAAGAGTAGCTCTTACTGTCACTGAGATTCCTAGAAAACATGGAATGATCCACTGCTCTCTATATGATTGAAAAATATTCATAAAAAAATATGCAAAACAAGGTTGTTTCATATTGAGGGACGGGAAGAAGAAGGAATAGAGAAGGAAATTTTTAAGGCATAAATAATATAAAAGGCAAACATTTTAAGATACATTCATATAACATTCTACTACAAAAAATAAATAATGGTTTCCTCTGATTTAAATGAATGTCCTTCACACAGTCCATCCCCAGGCCCGTTTTGTGCAGTTACTGGCTTCCAGGGGGAGCATGGCTAGTCATTTGCACGTCCTCAGGTTTCCTGGGGTTGTTGAAGGACCCCTAAAGGGCTGTCCAAAGGAATGCCAGGAGGAGACCATGCAGTCTTTTCAGTACAGTCCTTTGAGACAGGTGGTAAAATAAGAGGATTCCAACTTAAAATTGTGTTCTCTGTTTCTGAATGGACATAGCTGTCTCCTGAAAAACAGTAAAATTTGGAAGCCTTATGAAATGCTGAAGGCTGATTTTTACAAAACAATCTAAAATCATTACTTTGATCAATAAAGAAAGAATAACGAGCAAGTGTAGAGCCAATTGAGTTTGGTTTCACTTCAAGGGAGACAGTAGGTTTGAAAGGTTTAAAACTCTCATTAACAGTCATACAATTCATCTGAGAGTTTAAAAAAAAAAAAAAAAAAAAAAAGCACCGAAATAAATGCCTTAAAGAAAAACACTGCTCCAGAACCAACTCAAATGAAAAAGGAGCCCAAGTTCACAAGATGTTATCCTCCAGCAAGTCTTCTGGTCAGGTATAAACTGAATCAAACTCAATTTGATTTATTTTCCAAAATGTAATGAGGTTACTAGCTTGAGGTGCAAGATGTGCATAATAATTAAATTTCAAACAATCTTTTATCTAGCCATCTTTCCTTGAAGTATCCAATATTCACTACCTAGTCTCTTCAATAGCGTAGTGCCTAAGCACTTGACTGCTAACCAGGAGGCTGACGGTTCAAACCCATCAGCCACTCCTCGGAAGGAAGATGGGGCAATCTACTTCCACAGTGATACTGCCTTGGAAACCCAAGGAGGGGTCGCTATGAGTTGGGTCCAACTCGATAGCACATAACAACAACAACAACAGTCTCTTCAAGAAATGTGAGTCGATCACAGAAAACTTTAAAAGCTTCTTCTCAGTGCAAAAAACCAAGGGCATTTGGAAGCAATCAGCCCTAGGACATAGTGGACCTTGAAACCAGAAGAACTAGATGGTGCCCAGCTATCAATGCCAACTACTCGGAAAAGGATCAAAACTGGAGATCCTGGATAGGGTGGGAGGAAAAACGTGGAACAGAATCCAAGAATATAATAATGACCAGAATTACTGGTCAGATGGACTCTGGTGGGACCCCCAATACTATGGCTCTGGGATACACTTTGGGCCTGGAATAAAACTCACTCCCAGGGGCTGGTTTCCAGACCAATAGTAAATAAGATGTTTACACTGACCACTCAACCCAGGGTGATGCACCCACATACTCTATGGAAATGCATCCCTTGGAGCAATCGACCACAGGACACCAGAGGGGCAACATTCCCACAGAGGAAATGCAGGACACACAGGAGTGAATAACTATGTGGGACACGGGGGTGGGGTGGGGTGAGGGGGGTGTTATTGGGCAGGGAGGGAAGGAGAGTGGGTTAGGGTTGGGGATGGTAACTGGGGAGTGAAACCAAATGTACACGAAATGTTGAATGTAAAACAAACTCTGCTCTGTAAACTTGCACCTAAAGCACAATATAAATAAATAAAAGCTTCTTCTCTAATACAGTTTTTAGCTAACTGGAGACCACCTAGAAACTTAAGATTTATAATGCCTCTCCCATACCTCTGTTGGACTCTGCTGTATCTTCTGTGCAACCAAAATTGATATCATTTATGTTATCCTGGCAGCAAGTATGCTGGGTAGCTATTGGTACCACATTGTCTTTGATGCTCTCCTTGGATAACTGGCCATAACTGGGAACTGTGGAAGCCAGGCACACAGGTATCTTCATGTGATTTAGGGGTTTCATTTCCAAACCATCCTGAAGACAGGGTGCGACCACTGGGACCACAGGAAGGGGACTGCTGCTGAACGTGCTGTTAGTTTTGGTGAAACATCTACAAAGTTTAAACAAAAAGAAACAGATCGTATCTAGAGGGATCAATATGTTAAAATAAGCTTACTCTGAAATATCATTTGGTATTCTGAATCACAGATTTTTAAGAAAGATTGCTGCTTCTTAAAAGCTAAATGATTCACTGTGATTTGAAATGTCAAGAACTCAAAAATAACAATTAATGTGGAATACAACGGAATGCATCAAAAAGCAAACCACTTAATAATGGAACCATATACGATGACTGATCCCACATGCTTCCTTTGTCTTAGTCCACTGTAACAAGTTGTTACCCATTTCATAATTAACTGGCTATAACATATAGCACGCAGAAGGAAAAGGCAATTGGCTACTGGAAGGAAAGAGGAAGAAGGGGACAGACAGCTAAGAAACTTACAGTCACATGAGAGAAATGATCTTATAAAAACCAAGAAAACTACATTGCTTTGAAATCAGATCATATGTTCCCTCCCACCCTTTCAGGAAATACCACAAGGATTATTGTTGTTATATGCCATCAAGTCAGACCCGACTCATAGCAACCCCTCCTTGGGTTTCCGAGGCAGTATCACTATGGAAGGAGATTGCCCAACCTTCCTTCCAAGGAGTGGCTGGTGGGTTTGAACTGCCAGCCTTCTGGTTAGCAGTCAAGTGCCTTAGGCACTGTGGTACCAGAGCTCCCACAAGGATTAGACATTCAAAATCCAGGTTTTGTTTATTTTTTAATTTTTTCTTTGCATAATCAATTTCTAGAATTTATTAGCACTGAGCACTCATTTAAATTTTTTCATTTAATTTCCTTCCTTCACTGAAGATATGTTTTTCTTCCATTTTCTTTTTCTTTCTCTTCTTCAGAATGGGTAATTTCTATTGATCTATTTTGTAGTTCATTGATTCTTTTTATACTATTGCTCCAACCTGCTGGTAATCCCATCCAGTAAATTTACCATTTCAGTTATTATACTTTTCACCCCTGGAATTTCCATTTGGTCTTATTTATAGTTTCTTTTCTTAGCTGAAATTCCCCATATGTTCATTCACTGTATGTATATGTTCCTTTATGTTCTTGAACATAATTATAATAGCTTCTTTACAGTCACTGTCTGATAATTGTGACATCTAGGTCATCTCAGAGTCCATTTCTATTGATTTTTTTCTTCCCTTAAGTATCACCTTTTCCTATTTCTTCATGTCAAGTGGTATTTTTATTGGATTTTCCTAGTTCTGTCAGTCTTAAACTCACTCCTCTGACACTTTCTACTTGAGTCCTTTCCTAAGATAAATGCCCTCTGGCAAATACTCAGAAACTCATGAATCAGATCTATCACCATTCAAGTCTCTTGACACTAGGCTCTCATCAAATTTCTGCTGGCTTCTGATTACTCTCCAATACTTCTAGATTTTTATTTATTATTTGTGGGCAATCAAATTATTCCATCATTATTAGAAGCTGGGAAATCATAAATATGTTTTTTGGTTCAAAAATTACGAGTAAGAAAAGTCTGGAGGGGGGTTCTGGCAAGATGGCAGACTAGGCAGAAAGACTGCACAGACCTTCTTCAACAAAGAAAAAGGAAACCAATTAACACAGACACAGAAGATAATCCTGGACCCCTGAGCCTTGAAGAGAAGGATACAGAAGTGGACTAAACCCCAACCAGCAGAAGAATTTGTGTGAAAATACCAAAAAAGCAGATATACAGAGCTGCGGTCTGGCAGCGATCCTGAGCGATCCTGATGGCACAGACAGCTTGGAGATTCCTGAGTGCTGGTAGGACTTAAGCATTAACCTAAAAATCAGCCCTGCTAGCCAGGGACTGCACGGAGGACTGCTCTGGTGGCTGGGGAATAAACAGAGAAGGTGAAAAGAAAGGCGGGCTGAACTGTGGACTTTTGCCGGTCTGCAGGGTGCCATCATTTTGAAAGTCTAAAAGCAGCTTGACTATTTTGGATATTTAAAGAGACAGTGCTCTCGCAGATTCCTGGGGCTTAAGAACACGTTCTGCTTTCCAGCAACCCCAAGAACCCTCTGGACCTGCAAGACTGA